TTCGATGACAATAAATAGTGTAATCTATCAGAATTGGTTGAAAATGTTAAGATGCATGAAATATCAATAATTACAATTTTTAGACGAAGTTTTTCTATTTCATTAAGGGCTGAAGACAATACGGTTTGAACAATCTCCGAAATGAGAGCAATCCATTTCTCACCAACTCTACGACATTTCATTGCCAAATCAACTATTTTATCTTGTCTTGTTGAATTACAAACAGTTAACATTCTCATAGTAATCATCGTTATAGTTACTAATACCAATTCATTTTACCAATTTAGTTCACAATCATATAAACGGCGATCTAATCTCGTAATTATGTCGTCAATAAAATGATCTTCTAATAATTGTTCATGGGCTTCCAAACACCAAGAATTACCGGGTGAACTAACCTTACTTGTCTGTGGACCGTATTGCTATATTGAATGCATAATCAGCATTATCACACGTTCTTCAGAAATAGACAATGAGTCCATTTCAAACATTGTCAAGAGATTCCACCATTGTAGGCGATGGCCTGATATAAATGAGCCAAATTCTACAAACTGGGTAGGTTTCATTCGTACTGAACAATCGGACAGTTTAGCGGTGACATTATTTTGAACAAATTCTGTCGTGTCCATTGTAAATTGTAATTGTTGATAATCTGGATGATCAAGTTGGGGCGTTAATATACGACATTTCTTACCGAATCCAATTGGTTTTGTCGGCAAGATTTGAACAGTCAAACTATTTTCGTACAAAAAAATCGTCGATGGATGCAGAGGCAATGGATGGTGGACATGAATGGTGAGTTTGGGTTACAGATTTTCTGGAGGACACTAATTTCACTTTTCAGTTATTTGAACCAGTATGAAATGATCTGAGCTTGTCCATATGAGGAGGAACACTTAACCATTCATACATTTGATGTTCCGGATGTGGTTTTGGTTGATTGACACATTGCCAGATAATATCACGACAATATCGAATTTCAATGGGCATTTGTAATTCAAAAATAGCGGCCAATGCACTTTCGTGGTTGGATGGCAACGGACATTCGAAAATTGTTACTTGAATAGGTGTGGGTGTGGATGTGAGTGAAATGGTTATAAAATAGACTTTTCATTGAATTTCATGCTGAAATAGGTATAAGCTATTTGAAATTCTGAGAAACACATTTGTGATATTATTAAGTCCATTCGGTCGGCTACTGAAGAATCAGAAAGATTTATAACACAAGTAGTAATAAAGAAAAGCTTGAAGTTTCCTTTAATAATTCCTGATAATCAAAAGGTAATTCTCTTGCAATTATTACGAAAAATTGTTGACGTTTGCTTTGCACATCGCGGTGATTTCAAGAAATTTCTTGTGAGTTTCGATACTACATCCTTGGTTCGTTATATTTACTCTGTAATAATTTATAGAAATTTCGAGGATTTTCTTTTCCAGAACTCTAAATATATGTCGTAGAGACACAAAAGAATGTGTCCTTCATTTTGGCATGAAGAAAACTCGTCTCAGCGATGTTCCAAAATCAATGTCAAATTTTTGGAGAAGAATTTCTTGATGATCGAGTTTGCCAAGGAACAACTATTTGAAAAGATTTTACTTTTCTCAATAGTTGACGATTAGACAATATAAAATGTTTTTTGGTATAAGAAAAAAAAAGCAAAGTCTCGCTATTTGGAACTTGTTCTTTTTATACTATTAATCATGGAAGAGATCAATATTTTTGAATAACAAAGGATGTGGGTGTGGATAAATACTGCCGATAAAAATGCATGAATCAATCAACGAATTCACGATTGGGACTGCACTGGCTTATGTTTGTGCATTAAATCGAATTGACCTTGAACAGAATCATTTTTCCCTCTTTGAATGATTTTGTTCCATAGAAAGAAACATCAGTATAAGTGATTTGTTCATTAAGACCAATTCATGCTACTGTAATCGATACATATTACCGACGAGAATGTCGATGAGTAGAAATCGATTGAATTTGATTGTTCACATTTGATTATCAGCAAACGTCGTTTGTCTCACTGTCTTGTCCAACATTTGTTGCACAGCTCAATTACTATTTTAATTCTTTGTTAAGTTTCAAAGAAGTCCTCATATGCTGAATATTGAAGAACTTCACGAAATACTCTATGCAATAATTGTAATCTGAACACAAGAAACCGAACCAAATGTCAAGATATACCTTACGATGAAATTTCGACGCTCTGAAAGTTTTTCTTAGTACACTTCTGAATATTTGCGCAATAATTTTATTGAAATTTTATCATTTTTACTCAATTTTTATTGCATTGACGATGCAACAGCAATTGTCTATTTTGTGCCCTTATGGTGTAAGTTGAGTAATGTGGGTAAACTTGATGGGTATTCTGCAAAGGAAATGATTCATAGTGTTTTTCAATTCTGTGGTGATCTTGATATAGAAATACCTAGGCGCGTATTTCACTACTCTTCACAGTGGAAACGTCAACTAGGAATGCATTATGCATTTTGATGACAACTCATGGACATTTGACTATACTCGTCTGAAAATTAGTCATGGAAAAGAGTTTCATACTGACATTGATCAACAAACTGAAAATTAATTTTATTCCTTTAATGAAGAAGCAGGTAATTATCATTGATATGTGTATATTGTCATTGACAGTTACACGAATGAATTCATTGTTCAACATTTTATTTTCTTTTAGGTTTGGAAGCAATTGATGGTGGTGATCAACTGCATAGAATGTAGCATAACTTCAAGTTATTATCGATTAATAAAATGAATTTTCGTTTTGGAAGAAATCTAAAGAACTGTACAATTACCCAAGAAGAAGAGAGAGCATACGAACCATATGCATTATATTTAATAGAAAGAACAGAGTCGAACAAGAAACAATGTTCGAAAGATGCGATCAAACAAGAAATAAGATGTCAATTGAATGAATATGAAGACGATATGCATTATCAAAATCAATAGTGTTAGAAATGAAACAATGGGTGAATTTGAAGAGAAAACATCGCAGAGTGCATTCTCTAAAGTGAGTAATTATATTTTTAATCCAAATGTATGGATGTAGAGAGAGGTTCTAAACAAATGATTATCAGAAAGAATGTAACATATCAATTCAAAATTATAAATATACGGTTGTTTGTTTCATAACTTTGGTGAATAGAGTTCGTTTGCAGATTACATTTGAATGATTGAGTTGTATCTCAAGTTTTTTTGTTGTTACAAGGAATTAACGATCGGATGTGAAAATGTTGCCTACATGAATTGTATAATTAAAAGGATAAAATGGAATTAATTCAGTATTCTATTCGATTAGAGTTTGACGAAATCTGTAGTCATTATCAATAGAATCCCATTTGATGCTTTACATGAATGCTTAGTTTAAAATCTCAATGAATTATGATTAGATGATATTATCACTATAAATAAAAGAATACGAGTCGTCGTTGTTAGCGATCTTAAAACCTTCGATTATCAATGAGTCAGTGTCAATAAACAGCATATTTTTCTAAACATCTTGATAAATAGTCTTTCCTTACCTTCTTTATTTTTACATTTTAGAAAGAAATTTATCTGAAAAAGTCTAAATGTGCTAAAGTTCGAATACTCAACGATTAATGTATTGAACACAGTCGTCAATATGTATCCATGTTTCATTATACTGTCTATTTACTGCGCGGCATTAGTGAATTTTTATAATAATTAAAGAAAATCAATTTTATTCCACAAACAAGTTCTTTTTTTTCTTTAATTCAAGTTTAATGTATCGAACAATGACACATCATCAAAGAGCTGAAATACAATGACAAAGTTTACTCAATGAACATGAGAATCATTACCATTATTTGTGCGTAATGTTAGTGATCATTTTCCTAGAGAACAATTATTTCTTAAACAAGTATCAAAATTACTTAATACTCAACCATATATTACTGAACATCTTGTATATATATTTTATTCATCAACAACTGCTGATAAAGAGATAAAAACAATAAATAGACATCAAGCACAAAAATAAACACGTATTTTAAATAGTACTCTGGATGTACGTGCACTTGTGTTATTTATGATGTTTGATGAATATCGTAATGATTATGTGACAAATTATAGTTTACAACAAGTTTATGAAAAATATCTAAAAAAATCTTGAACTATTTGATGGAAATCGATTATAAGAAGTTATTCAAGTACTTCTTCAAAAATTTCATCTTGAACAAGTGCTATGACAAATACTAAACGTCTATATTTATATAGATCATGAAAATTTATGAGACGAAAATGATAGATGTTCTACTTTCAGTGCAGAGATGGAACCGGTCTAGTTTTTTTCAGACCGGTACCGATCCAAAACAAATCAGATCGGACCGGACCGGTAAAACTGGCTTACCAATAATACATCGATTCTTACAGTGAAACTTCTTTTTAATGTATCTTCCGCCAGAGATGGAATCGACCTACCAGTAAAAACCGGTTTACCGACTGGAATCGATTTACCAGAAAAAGTTTATCTGACGGGTTTACCGGCCAAAACTAGCCTATCGGTACTAAACAGGATGCTGATGATAAGTCAGTTTATAAGAGAAAATCCGACCTACCGACAAAATATCGATCTACAGACAACAGACTGAGACTTGAAATGAAACTTTGTTTCATAGTGAACTCTCTTGCCGGCTACCCTCGTACTTTCACACATACTGGTATAATGTTTCACCGTTAATAAAAATAGTCTCACTGATGGGCATTCTGAAAACTGTTTTTTAAATAAATTCCTGTGTGATCAGTGGAACTAGTCTTGGTGCCAGTTGTTTTTTCATATGAATACCATCATAGAGCAGGAAAGTGAAAAATATAGATCGGTATAAAGCGGTTTCGACCTGTCAGACTGGTAAATACCGGTAGACCGGTCGATTCAAAACCCAGACCGGTATTGGACCGGATCGGATCGGGGTGTGGGTGTGGATCTGCGAGTTATGCAATGGAAGATTGATACCCACACCCACATCCAAAACCCACTAAATCTACAAGCAAGACCTCTACTAGTAGTTGGCCTGAACCTCTGATTAGAAGCATAAAAGCTTTCTTCAGAAATAAAAACAGTTACTTGATGAGACCCTTTGGCAAGGCCGAAACGCGGCGTAGTTGCTGAAATTATTCATGAACTCACCCACCCCACCTACCCTCACCCTCAAGATCCAAGTAGACCCTAGTAGACTCTGATAGACCCTGGTAGACCATAGTAGACTCTGGTACACCCTGATAGGCCTTAGTAGACTCTGATAGATATTTATAGGCCCTTATACATCTTAATAGATTTTTATAGATTCTTATAGATCATTATATGTCTTTATAAATATTTATAAATCCTTTTAGATTGTGCAAATAAATTTTCTCCATGAAATACAGAAATTTTGAATTATTTTGTAAATCATTTCCGTCATGAACTCGCTGAATAGTATTATGTGTAAGGTACTTCTGTTCAGAAAGATAGACTATGAAGGTGAATAAATCAGTTTGTTTTCTTCGACTGATAAACATCCATAGTCAGATTGAAGGTTAAATTATCAAAAATGGTTTTCAGCTTATAACAGTTAATTGTTTTCTAGGTATTTTTTCGGGTCAGTGAATGACAATTACTATGCAGTACGAAAAAAACACCGCTTCCAGGATTCGAATCTGAGTTCTTGCTCGTAATGTGCGGTGCTGTACGATTAGATTAAAGAGACAGCATTCTTGTCTGGTCTCAATCGGTCTTATGTACTGCATTATCTTTACTCGTCTGATTTGTTTTTGAAGATTTATCCCATATGCTAGAAGTACCACTTAATCAGAGCTTTGCTCGAAAATAGATGCAATCTCTTAACAGTCTGATAATATATTTCTTACAAGACGGGGTTTAAATCTAGCAAGACCTTGCTTTATTTTTGGTCAGTACCGACTTTTTATTCCCTTGCTAATAAACAATGAGAACAAATAACAACAAATTTAGTCTACACTGTCCGTCCAATCATTCAAAAATATCATTCTGTGCGCCATCTGAGAATCCCATACGTGCGTTGTAGGTTGGCATTTTGGGTGGATTTATCACGTTATTCCCATCTAATTGTTGGAAGAAGATCATTTGCTTTGCTCCCTTTACACACGTTGAAGGATCATCTTCACAATAGACAGGTGGTTTGGCTACCGCCAGTTTTCTGGTAGAAGTTGAGCGAGTGACAATACATTTATGGCCTTGCATATACATGTTGGGCTGTCCACATCCCATTGGAATCCATCTAGTATCAAGAAAAAGAAAATATGTTAGAAGCTGAATTATAAAACGAAAAAAATGTTTAAAGAGAGGAAGAAGCTCAAAAATAATTAAAAATGCGCTGCCGATTTAAAAGTATAAAAAATTCACTCACCCCCATGCACATGTACAACCACCTGGAGGACAGGGAGGTAAATCTTTTGGTACATCGTACGAGGTCAATCTTTGCCAGGGTGTATGGTATCTTACAGTGAAGACGACCAAATTTTCCGGTGTGACTTTGTCAATGCTGTTCTGATAGGAGATAGCAAAAACTGTTCCTGGAGCTAAAGCTTGACTTGGCGTGTGCAAATTAGGATCGATAACGCATTCTTCATCGCCTCGTTTAAGCTGTTGGGGACCACCATAATAGCCATTGAATTTTGAATTTTTACCAAAGGTCGTAAAAGCACGATTTTGAGCAATTTCAACAGTGAAAGAGCCTCCTGCAGGAAGTTCAAGGTAGTGGCCAGCAGGTGGTGGGACTTTGTCACATCCTCGATCGTGTTGAAACCACCAGTCTTCTTTAGTGAGCATATATTGAGGGTAGACGGGTAACATGTTGTCCCAATCTTCTTTCCCTGGAAGCCCCTATAAAATAACATAAATTTGAAAAACAAAACTTTCCACAATAAATTAGTCTTTGCTTACGTACTTTCATACAGTACATACCTTTGGACCAGGCTGCTTGATGAGCTATAAGAAAGCAAATTATGAGTTAATATTGTTTTTTATATGGAGAAGGTAAGTGATTTCAGTTTTAAGAAGAGGTCAGAATAATAATGTGAAAAATGTGAAGAATAAAGTACCTTTAGCAGTGAAGGCCAGTGCACATAGTAGTGCAGATACGAATATGGCTTTCCAAAGCATTGGGGATGAAAAAAGTTTTCTTATGAAGAAAATGCAGCAATGTTCTCTTATTTATCGGTGTACATAACGAAATGTTTTTGCTTTATGTGAAAAAATGACAGATTGAGAAGTGTGCTTTATTTTGAAAACACATCTATTTACTTCTTCCCTTCTGTCTTCACTCCCAAACAAAGGACAGGGGCGCATAAGACCACAAATCAGAGCTGCCACCTCTTCTGCTTTTAGCAGAAAATTTCTCCTTTTTGAGAATTGTTCTGCTTTTTTGGATACTGCGAAATTTATATTTTTAAAATATTTTTCATCTCACAGATCATCTTTTACGATTATAAAAAAATCCTTATCAATAGTTACTAACCCATGTCCTCAAAATTGCCTGACTTTTGACAATTCTCCGCCATTTTAAAAAAATCGCCGATTAATCGCTAGCATTTAGTGATTATATTGCCGAAGTTTAGCATTAATGGCAATTTTTCTGTGAAAATTAGCAAAAATCGTTACTTTTTACGATTTATCGCGATATAATCTCACAATTAATCGGGCTAACATATCGCGATATAATCGGCGATTTTAATTTGGCTGTTGACACAGGTAGTCTATATATGGTCGACCTATTTCATCAAAGTCATATGGGTTTTTCATTTTCTGTGTTTTTGTTGCAAGGATTCAAGAAAAATCACCAATTTTTACGATTTATCGCCATATAATTTCTCGATTAGTCGCTAACATATCGCGATAAAATCATCGACTTTGTGGCGATTTCGATGACATGGGAATGTTTTTGTTCTATTATAATTCTTTCAATGTTACAAAAATGATCTTTATTCTTGTTAGTTCCGACTAGTTATAGATGTTTATATATTCTTTCACTTCATCACCAAATCTTAAGAAGCTGGTATGCTTTCGTATTCTCTACTTTGTAGCAACCCTTATGTGGAATCAGCATTCTGAAAATTGAAACTTTTTTTAAATGATAAAAGGAACTGTATAGGAACAGAACTAATATTAGCTTTATTAGCAATACTTTTAAATTCATTCCTATCATGTATTGAAAAACATTAATATTGATTAGGTAATCAAGATTTATTAAAATCTATTAAGTGTGATGAAAAATATACGTTCAAAAGAAACTTTGTTGCATAATCCTTTTTATTTGTTAATTAATTGTTTTTCTTGATTCTGTACAATAATGATCAACATTTGATGTGAAAGCACTTAATTAGTATACTGGGACAAAGTTTCAAAACAGCTTTATATCTCAAAAAATGCTTTCTGTCTTTTTATTCTGTTTTTTTATGATAAAAGAGTGTGGGTGTGGGTGTGAATGTGGGGTGTGGGTGTGAATATTCAATAAAACAACAATACTCACACTCACAACCACACCCTTGGCGTGATAATGAATGAGGATAATATGAAGTGACTTGATGGCAACATGACAAATGAAAACTATAAGTTTAAAAAAAATGATTGTTTATTAAAATGAATTCGTTTTCTCTTTATGGCACCTTGCCGAATATAAAACTTAGACGTTCATATGTGGAGATAAAAAAAAAATTGGGCAATACTGTCTCTATATTACAGAAGGAAAATGATGTAGTTCAATTTTAACCAGCTTCCTTTCTCCATAACAATAAAAACTTCCACTGAAATAAATCAATCTTCGTAATTAGTCCCTTCTTATTCTATTCATTATCAAGTTTTTAATAAGAAATTTTCTCCGGTAGCCATTATACAAATGAAGCCTACTTTAGATTGAAAGAAAAATTTAAGAAAGAAATTTTCAATTTATTTTTCAAAAAAAAACTAATTTTATTTTTCCTCGAACAGAATGAAGCCAAAATTAAACCAAAATGAATCAACAATTAAAAATTTGTATCGAAAACTAAAGAGACTTACTTATCATCAAGTAATCTCACTCATTTATATATATAATGAACAAATATCTTGCCTTGCCACTTACACTTATGGAGAGTTTTATTGTGTACAATTAGAAAGACTTATTTATTTTCATACAGTTAACTATTGTCTTATTTCGAGAAAAATTACGGAACTCCATGAATATTATTTTTATTTGAAGACAAAATTTCTTGTTTTCGATGTCTTACTAAAATAATTTTTTAATCATGGTCCTCTTTTTAAAATTAAGAATGATTATTATTATTATTATTTTTATTTAACTTTTTTCTCCATGTGTTTTATGTAATCACATTCAAGTATTATAATCACTAGAGATAATCATAACAGATTTCAACATATAACACGAACGAGTCAATGTAACCCATTGGTTTAAGTATGTTCATTTACAATCATAGATCTTCTGTTTTAGCCTCGATTACTGCATAATTCAAAAGCGTAAGAAAAATAAAAATGCTTGTTCTGCTAATGTGCCTCTGGGATGAGCTGACCATCATTTGGTAAAGATGGTGACGTAGTTCGAATCTACGAGAACAAGTGAACTTTTTTTCCAAAAAGCAATTGAAAACGCGTTTAGACGCGTTCAGTTTTTAAACGTGTTCCACTAATAGCGTTTCAAACGCATGTAGATGTGAAAAATTTTCACATGGGCCGTCTGCACCTATCTAATAGATGCAGAGCAGGAGGATTGAACATAGGTACTTACGATTACAAATCTTTCGTCGAACAGCTAAATCAAATATCAGCCGTTATGTTTCGACTTAAACCATATTTTGGTTTAACGCTTGAGAATACTTTGATTTTGTTCGATTTCATTCTAAAACTCTTTTTTCTAATTTTTGAATAATATGAAGGGTACAAGATTTAAGAAAGAAAATATAGTTTCTAAAAGTATCATTTTAATAATTGAAGAACATCTGCACTTTTGAGTTAATATTAAGAAAATTCATCGTATAAATAAAGGATATGTTGATAAGCAAATATTACTTGTAAAATGCGGGCACAATATTAGACAAAAATATTCAAAATATTCACAGCCTGGTAGTTCAGTATAGTTATGTTTTCGAGGAAATAACAATATAATTCTATAGGATGCTTGTCTATAAATGATAAAAATTGATGTTTAGAAACGCATAAGAGTTACCAAATATATGAGAAACAAAATAAATGACTTCAATCAGCATTCTCGAGAAATATTTAACAAACCTAAATTAATTTTCACAGCATGTTTTCATCAAAAATCATTAGCTGAAGCAATACATAATAATATAGGCTTCTAACAGCCGCGTTGCTGATATTATTCTGAAGGTAAGCTCGCTTCTAAAACTTAATTTTCAGATAAAAAATGTAAAGAATTTTAAAATATTTGGTTCCGAGGAAGTCCCAACACTCTGAATCTAATTAGTAATCGAAAGCATTTTTCTGCTCCTGTGTTTCGATGGTGTAGCTGAAAGTTTGGTATCTTTTGATTATCTAAAACCGGATTACATAGTTAAAACTTTTTTTTTTGGTTAGATTCATTTTCATCAATTACTCGGGAAAATGATGGATGTTGAGTGATCAAACTGACTTTTAGTACTCGAAAATTTTCTTATTATGGGTCATTCTTACTGAGTATTCAAAAAATCGATAGATTTTAAGAGATCACAACTAATTTGGATACTCGCAAGTGTTTTTTCGATAGGTTTGTTCTCTTCAAGAGCTCGTAATTTCGATGGGCGTTGAATGATCGGAATTTATGTAAGTAATCAAAACTGATTATTTAGTGGAACAAAATTTCTCGAGGTCTCGGTATTCAAGTGGTATCGAGGGGTCGAAAGATGAGGAGAACGAGAAATAATATATATTTTGAGAATTTTTCGAGCGTTCTGCGCATCCCTCGTAGGTCTTTTCATGTTTTCTTGAGTCTAGTAAGGAATTTTCATTGATTTGAGGTATTTTTTACCATGAAATCGAACTGGGAAACTATAAGAACAATCTCTCGCCGGAAAGATGCTAGCAAGTTTTATGTTCTGACTAGTTTTTAACCAGACTTGACTGTACTTTGAAGAAAACATTTTTAGCGATGGCTTGACTTGACTTGTGACTTGAAAACTTCTGACTTTCCCACCTCTGCATGTAAATGGATGAATAACTATGAAACATAAAAAATCTATGTGCTTCACTATTTTTTTATAATGAACTATCCAAAAAGAAACAACATGAAATACTAATAATACTGTTATATAAAGTAGACATCAGTAGCTACTAGACGTTAAAATCTGAATCTCTTCGTACTTTTTTCATTGAATGGGATATGAAACAATATGATTTACTGCGGATGAAGGAATAATTTTGAAACCCCACTGTATAATACACCATATAAAAAAAACTGTCATATATAATAAACCTTATAAAAAGAATCGTCATATATAATATACCTTATAAAAAGATCATTAAATATAATATACCTTATAAAAAAATATGATTTATAACGAATAAGTATCAAAGTAATTTCATGTTTTATCCTTGAGTAGTAAGGTACAATTACTAACATGTCGAATATATGCATACAACTGCTTTTTTGTCTTCTTATCCTTTGGTTTAAAACGAGTGCATTTATTCCATTTCCACTACTAGCTGATGGTGGTCAAACTAGTGATAGTAAATTTCTAATTACTTACTCTTTTTAAAATTGTTCACATTTTTTTGTCGATATAGGTATTACACATGCCGAAATAACACAATCTGGTTTCATTCGTTGTTTAGCTCGTTTCTTTTATGAAACACGTATTCAACTGAATAGTAACAGTAAGAACGCTGTCAATCAACAAGAATATTTTGCTCAAAACCATACTATCGATGGTCTTTATAAACTTGCATTTCCAGACTACAATCGAGCTCAAATAGAATTGCATTCACTTCCATTAAAATTTATTCTTGATTCTATCATGACACACAATGCTCTTGTAGATTTTGATTCAGACACACAGAAACTCTCAGCTGCACATTTTGATAGTGAAGCATTCATAAACGGTAGTCGACGTATTCTTAAGCTTAAGCAAAAAAGTAAATTTTCGAAAATAATTTTTTAATAAATTATTTTCATCTTTATTTTTTTAAATTAGTTTTGAATGATGTACGTGATACTAATAAAGATTTGACTAATGCACGTGAATTACTTGGAAAATTGCTTCATACATTACAAGATTTTTATTCACATTCAAATTGGATTGAAATGGGTAAAACTACTATTAATGATCGTATTGGAGTCAACGAAAGTATCGGTTCAATTGCTGATCCTAATCAACCAACCTGTACAAGTGATGGTTGCACACGAATAACGAAGAAATGCGTAAGGCACATAATCATTATTTGTTAATTTTACTTAATGAAGTATTTCGTATTCAGACTCTTTGGCAATTATTCACGTTGAGAACTTGTCCTATTGTATATTATGATTGTAAAAATAACATTTTACCAGAAATCAATGATCAAAACTTACTGACCAGTGGATATCTCTTTAACCAATTCAATGAAAATAATGAGCTATTAAACAAACCAACAAATGTCAAAAAATGTTCTCATGGTTCAGTGAGTGATGATTCATCGCATATACCAGCTATCGGTGGAATTAATAAAGATTCTAATACCTTGATTTTCTCACCTCATTCTAATCTTCAGTAAGTAAATAAATCTCATGTCAAGTCTTTCATCGAACATCAAAAGACGTGTTGTTTTTCAAATATTTTGTCAGATTATAATTGATGTATCTTGAGTAGATCTCCTATATTTTATAGTTTTTATATTTTAGTTTTCAAGCTGCTGATTTTGGTGTGAAAGCAACTGAACAATTCTTAAATGGTTTACGTAAAGACGCTGGAGATGATAATTTCGATCGTCTTTTTGCTATTAATCCAACACACACACAACGTCAAAATGCTTCAAAGGCTATTGAAAATGGACAAAGATTTCGATTTTTTACATCATTTATTTCAGTTAGTTTGAAAGAAGATCATAGTCTTTTTATGGAATTTAAAAACTGGATTAAAAAACGTGTCAATATGATTAAATTAATATTAAACAATATCTTTTCTAGTGAGACAAACTTTTATGTACCAACGTATGATTTAAGTGACTTAGGAGTTACTGTCAAAGATGCGACAAATTTTCGTGCTGCACCATATATTATTGAAAGTGAAAGCGCCCGAAACAAGAGACGTTTGATTCATATTCTTCGTAAACGTATATAAATTGAATACAGAGGTTCTTTTTTTCAAGTTTTGCTTTTAACAGAAATAAATATTCTATATAATATATATTAAATAGAAAAATGATATAGAAAAACTAATTTCTATAAAAATAAAACGAACATTTCAATGAGGGTGTGGGTGTGCATTTCAAAGCCACCTACCGATACCCACACCCCCACTCCCAAAATTATTATAAGGTTTGCCTTATTTTTCTGTGTAATTAGCTTTTTGAAGGGCTCATTTCTAAGATGGTCTCAACAAGTGCATTGGTGGATTCTGTTTAGAAATGATGAAGTGATCCGTTCACACCAGTCAGTAGATCAGTATGTACATGTGGTATCACACATATCAAGCGCACAAAGCGGGTGTGGGTGTGTGGGTGTGGATGTGGGTGTGATTGTGGGTGGAGTGTGAGTGTGGGTATGGTGGGTGAGGGTGTACGTAGGTGTAAATGTGGGTGTGCGTGTAGGTATGGATGTGGGCGTGGATGTGGGTGGGGTGGGGGGCCTCCAGACGTTTCGTCACTGTCATTCCGAACATCCATCTTTGACACCGAATGTTCAGAAGTGACATTTAGTCCGTCAACGGGTGTTCGGAAAAAAATCCAACGGATGTTCGTAAGATAGAGAACGGACGTTCGGAATGAATTATGTCACATGACAGAGTTACAAAAGATAGATGTTCGGAAAAGAAACTACTGGGTGTTCAGAACGCAAACATAGGGATGTTCGAGACAAAACACATGGTGTTCAAAACGGACTGAGATATAGAGCTATAGAGAAAGAAAAGGTTATTCTGTCTTTTTCTAAATATCTATCGCTAAAAAAAACCTGTATCTACTTGTTTGTGTTTAGAGAAGAAGAAGTGATAGAAATTTACTTTTTTTTGTTATTTATTTATTAGTGAAATGTCTCTTTATCTCTGTGCTATTGTATTTCTTAAGAGTTCGACTTACTATCTGTAAATATTGTTCTTCGTTCAATAAAACTCATCTATTTCTTATAATGAAAAGACGAAGCAAGTAGACAAGCCAGGGAGTTTTGATAGTGAAAAGTTCCTTGCTGAACCACCCTCGAATAAGAGTGAATAGAAGTTTCTAATTCAGTACACACTTTCACATTGCAACTATGTGTCTAACATACTGTGTACTGTGCTGTGAAAGGAAGAGCGTTCCGAACATCGGTTAACTGGAACTAAAGTGCTGCACTAGTAAAAGAAGCCGATCTCCATTCCGAACATCCCTCGTTTTCTATTCTGAACTCCCATGTAAAGTTTTACAAACATCCGGTAGTTTTTTTCATAAACATCCGTTAAAATTATCTAGTTCGTCACACAGAAATGTGCGTGTCGTTGCCGTTCCAAACACCCGTTAAAAATTTTTACGAACATCCGTTTATTTTTCGATGATCGTTCCGAATATCCGTATTTTTCTAATTCTGAACATCCGATATTGTTATCATAAAAGTGATGATTTTTTGAAGAAAACGGATGTTCGGAATGAAAAGCAGCGATGAAACGTTAAAATGCCGGTGTGGGTGTGGCGGGTGAGGGTGTGCATGGGTGTGGATGCGGGTGTGCGTGCGGATGTGCGTGTGGATGTGGGTATGCGTATGGATGTGGGCGTGAATGTGGGTATGGGTGTGGTTGTGTGTATGGATGTGGGTATGCGTATGGGTGTGGGCGTGGATGTGGGTATGGGTGTGGTTGTGCGTGAAGATATAGGGAATTCCGACACCCATAGCCCCACACCCTTGAAAGGAAAGGAAGCACCCACACCCACACCCACTCACACCCCACGCGCACACACCCACACCCACGCCCACGCCCTACGCTCACACACCCACACCCATACCCACTCACACCCACACCCACACCCTAGCCACACCTTCTGTATCATCATGAAAAAATACATCGGAAACTCTACATGTAATTGTGAAATATCTCTGATCAAAATTTTCGTTCTACTTCTCTGCTCAGTTTATTTATTCGTAAAATTTTTGGGTTTACTCTCCTATGAGCAAAAGTTGACTGGAAACTTTATTAGGAGAACTTAAAAAGCAATAATCTTTTTCTTAGTATTCTAACATTTATTCTCACTTCTTATTTATTGATTAAAAATTTTGAATATGATTTATTTGAAAAACAAAAATTCATCTTAATCTATATTATTTTCGTTCAGTCAGATTGACAAGAATATTGACAATTGGTTCATCTTTATAATCTTTAAGTGGACATGATGAACCATCATCTTTCTTCTTCCATAACCAAGTGGCTGGATCAACAATTGCCATTTCTTTTCCATTCATTTTTTTAATATAGATATGACGTGTTGCTGGATTAGATGTTTGCACAAATGCATATTGAAATCCTTTTGTATCTCGTGCATAATTACATATATCTGTACGTAACTGAGCACCGAAACCTTTACCTACATATTCAGATCGTGTTGCACCAGCCATAATAAATAGAACCATATTCGGCTTTAATTCTTGGTCGAAATCACGATGAACAAATTGATGAAGCATTTCTTCTATTAAATCTTTGATTGGATTATGAGATGCAGGACTAGAAGCATCATATGGATGTTTTTCACAATATAAGAATAGGTCACTGGCTATGATTGCTGCAATAATTTCATTCGTTGGACGATGTCGTATAAAAAATGATAATTTTTCATCAAATACATCGATCATGAATGGCCAAACCCATTGATCAAATGATTGCTCGGCTGTTGCTTGATGAAAAATCGACAAAGGATTGTGTAAAGCAAATTCTTCTGCAAGTAGCTTAGCACATAAATGAGCGTCGTTTTCATTCTCGATTAGAGCGATTTCATATTCATCGTTACTAGCCATGTGACACAAATAAAAACACAATGGATATAAGAAAGGCGTAAATATCAGTATTCATATATCTTATCAGCTTTTTTCGTTCTGTTGATGACCTTGCATCCTGACACAAACAATTACTCATTGTTAAAAGAATTTGTTTTGGGGTGTGAATGTGCGTATGAGCGCTAAGCTTCTTTTACTTTACACACCCACACCTACACCATGATACTTTTTTTCCATGATTTCCAGAAGATTTGGATGCTGCAATAAATAGCTTATAAGACACTTCGGTGGCCAATGTGAAATAATTTGACGGTATTAAAGAAGTTTTGCTTGCCAAATCTGTTTGACCTTTTTTATACACGGCTGTATTTTTATGTTAAAAAAGCTTTTTGTTCGTGGTCAACACAGTATTTTTCTACTATGATCATGTTTATCAATGTCTTTGAGAGAAAAATTTAAAAAATGCTTTAATATCATTCTACTCGATCATAGGACGAAACCGTTGATTGTTTGTGAGGCATGCAAATGCGTTAATTTAGTTTTTATAATACTTAGGGCAATCCAAAACTAGTGATGGAGGCACCTTATTTCCTGAAGCAGAGATCTAAAAAATTTTCTTTTTCTACCAATAGATAGAACGTGTTTTGCTCTATTTTTCTATGCTATTTGATCATTCATCGCCTTCTACTAAGTTAGCGAAATTCCGAGAAAATGTTTTTTTGCGTACAACTCCCTGGTAGCAGAAGCTGATATTTTCGTCCATACATAATTCTTTTTCGTTTTTTCGGTGTTCTTTTTCTTTCTTTTATTTCATTTTCTTCTTATTATTATTTCTTACAATCTGATTGCACATATTTTACTGTGTAAAGAAAGCAATAAAAAGCAAAAGACAACAAAAGCAGAAATGAATTTAGTGATTATTTCGCTAAATGTTCAAAGTAACCACTATGATTATCTACATATAGCTACATTCTTTCGATTCATTTCTCGAAGGTCTTTTTCTACTCGTCGTGATTTAAGGAGTGCATGAAATCAGTCACAGTATCATGCAATGATTCTGAATCATCTTGATCAGTCAGATTATTTTTGATCAAGTCGAATAGCCAGAAGTCACAAGGTGATAAATCTGGAGAATTAGGTGGATGCGGTATTATTGTAAGGCCTTCAGATTCAAGATAATCGGATACATCTTTATGCACATGTGGTCTACCATTGTCATGATGAATTTTGATACCACGAGTCCCATATGAAGGTCTTTGACGTTTGATCTCGTCGATCAGAGGTCGTAAACACTGGTTGATGTAATAATGGTGGTCAACAGTCTAAGTTCGATGCGATTGATTAACATAGACTCGACCAATTTGAAAAAGATCGAAAACATGGTTTTTCATGCGAACCGACTTTCTCGAACAACAGTAGGTGGAGGATCTCCTATGCGGGTGTGGTGTCGGGCGTGGGTATGGGGTGAGTGTGGGTGTGAGGTGTGAAGTGGGTGTGGCTGGGTGTGTGTGGGTGTGGATGTGGGGTGTGGGTGTGGGTGCGGGTGTTGGTGTGGGTGTGGGTCTGGGGTGTGGGTGTGGGTGTGCTCATCTTCACCCACCCCCACCCCCACACTCACACCCCACCCACACCCACACCCACACCCTAATGCCGCATCAACATATCTAGACAACATTTCTAACAGCTATTAATGATTCGTGTTCCAGGTATTTTGTTGTATTCGTTTAGCTGATTCACATGTTTTTATTGAAAGTGAAATGGTATTTGCCTATTCTGTGTTATTTTTATATTGTAGAACATTGACAGAATATTTTCAAGGTACTTTTCCTTGTGATAATCAAAAAAATAGTCGGTTCTTAATCAAAATTTTTACATTGACTGGTTTGGTGAATTAACGTAAGTGTTAGCTTTATTTTAATTTAATATTATCCTTGCTTGTTTTCCCGTTGTATATAGAGACTAATTACGAGAATAGTTGTAAACGAATCCTACCTGCATCACCGGCACCTTAACGATTAGAGAAAGCTAGTACATGTATTTTTGTTTTTCTTCCTGATCTTCTTCTGTATCAAGTAATAAACTTTAGCCCATTTTGTTTTTTTAAATCAGAGACTAATGAAATCAATAAATGATAAAAGTGAAATGAGAAAATGAGTTTTTTAGTTTTTAAAGAGAAGAAACACTACTATACTACAAAAAAAAGATGTATATAACTAGAATATTGAGTCTTTTTAAGAAATATTTCATGGTAATCAAATAACAATACAAATGTGTCATTTATTTACCATGTTCGATTTTAGATTGTATATTTCCTTTCATAGACGAACATATTGTGCTAAAATCGATGACTAAACGGATTGATCACCAGCTATTTCTATATCAGGCCATTTTAATCCTAATCCATGGATTAAAAAACTTCGCGCAAATGTTTCGCAATTAAAGGACGACGTCCACCGTTCTTGATTGTTATTATCGGATACTAATTTATTATAGACATTATTTGCCTAAAGTATATCAAAAAAGAAGAAAAGATATTGTTAAAGCAGATAGAGAATAATTCGCACTTACTAATAATTGAATTAAAGTACATCGAGTACCAATTGGTATAGTTATATCAGCTATTTGTTGAAAAATAGCAGGTGTCTAAATGATAAAAAAACAAAGAAATTAATACAAAGAAATAATATAGAAAATAGAAATAATTATAAATGTTTACCTGATATTGTACAACATAAGACGGTACAATAGTTGGATCTAATAAATATTCACTTTCCTTCAAATTTCCAATATGGATAATATGAAATTCTTTGCGCAAAATAGTCCATGGTTTTATTTCTAGACTTGTTGTATTTGGATAACATTGGTCACCAATATTTGCTTTCAAATGCACCATTAAACCTGAGATATTTTGTTCATCAGAACAACCCAACATATCAAATATAAGAAGCATATGAGCCGATTCTGATGCATCTGATTTACTTCGTACTAAGTACACATGACCAGCTGCTTGAACATTTGTTATCACATTATGCATTGAAAACGTTGTTGTATTGAATTCTTCTATCAACTCGTAACCCATAATAAATGTAGTTTTTGTTTTAATTTTTGAATATATGAAATTTCTAAAAAAAACCAGTGTAATATATAATGGCAGACAGTTAGATAATGTGTTTTACGTTGATAAAATTTTATTATAATTCTTTTTTCTAATAGACAGAGAGTGTGTGTGTGTGTTATGCACGAATAAATATGGGATGATGATCTCTCTCTGTATGTCTAACCATTCGAAATACAAATGCTTTTGATCAATCAGAAACAAACAATATCTATGATAGAGGACGGTAGATGACGAAAACGACCGAAACAAGAAGAACTTGATTTAAGAAAAACGAAAAAAAAATAACATGAATGACGAAAAATTTCATATAAGGTAATCAAGAGCGGTGAATTTGCACATGAAGTCAGCAGAGAAAGATTGCATAGATATTTCTTGATGCCAACTAGCTAATTTACCGAGCTGGGCGCTTTGTTTGTTCAACTAGCCGTCAACAATACATTCGTTAAGTTTCTTTTTCTGCAAAAATTTCATTGTATTATGGGATAAAGAAGTAGATAAAGATCTTATCGGACGTTCTGCATTTTGGCATATATTAGTACATATTATTTAAACGAGAGTTTTGATCAGATTGAAGGAAATAAAAACCATCTTAGTTCTTATTTTAAATTAAACGATAATATACAGCTATTTTTTCTGATGTGTTTTATTTTATTTTGAATATTCAATTATATTTGTGAGATACTTAGTAGATTAACTGATATAACATATACTTATTCATCATCGATAAAATTCTTCTATTTTTCTCTAGGTTATGACAAATGTTTTTCTGATTGAATACATGGTGTTAATCCTAGATAATTATCTTTGAAAATAGAAAAAGAAAACAGATATTTTGTTATATGATAGCCGTCAATATCAAGAACAGGAAACATTGCAGAATTACATATTTATTCCTTTATTTGATATATATTAAACATAGTTGGATTAAAACTATCTTTTAATATTTTTATTTGGTTAAACCTGAAAACATTAGTAAATGATTGTTGAAGATGTTCAGACAATCTTTATCGAATAATTATTGTTAACAACAATTTACATCTACTTTTGCATATTATCTTAATATCAGAACTCAGTTTTCATCATGATTTTATTCTTTTCTTCGATAATTATTTAGACTGTACAGAAGAAAATTTGATCGAAAAAAGATAAATTTAATTATTAAAATAGAACAGAAAGGAAATTATTTATTTGTTTTCTCTCCTCAATCACTAGTCTTCGTAGTCGTTCTATATTTCCTATAATTCCTATATGTTTGAAAATGGTCCTATAATGTCCTCGATTTCAGGCATTTTTCCTATATTTCCTATATTCTCCAAAAAAAAGTTAAGATTGTTTTTTTAAGTGCTACAAATTTTGACGAGAAAAGGCAAGCATGCCTATTCACGTATAGTTGGTTTCATCAACAGCAATAAACATGAGACCTATTGACACTATATCGATGTTTTTCAACCCACAATCATATTTATAGTCACAATTCATTCATTCTTTTACAATCGTTTATGAAGATGACTAGTGTATTGAGGAGTTCATATCGAATTTTCGTATAATATTGTACTGTCAATTATCGCTGTCGAATCTAGTGTTTCTTTTTCAGGATAAATCCATTCAAAGTCATTACTTTGTATCACGATTGTCTTCAAAATAACAAATTAGAATATATTATTGTACACTTTAGCTTCATATCTCAAGACTGGAAACTTGTAGAACGTTATTCGAGTGGTAGCTAATGGTTCAAGAGGAGAGCACCGCGACAGCTGCACTCTGGAGTGCAAGTGGAATGTTGAGGTCTTGCCCGTTTCCCTTTGAAGTGGTTCTATTCATTGAACTATTATCTCTACAAAAGAGAACTTCACAAGCTTAGTTCTTCCTCGGGATAGAACCGAAGAGAGTAAATAAAGCAGACGCCAGTATATTTAGACTGTCCATTTTCCACACTACACCAGTGAGAGCACAATCAATGCTACTCAATAGCACAGATGATTAAACGATCAATGCGCTATAATTTTCTTGAAGAAAACGTTGCCAGTGATAGAAAGACAAAACGTATTAATAGCATTTCCTAAGTTGCGATTCAAAACATTATTGTTTTCAATCATCTATTTAGCAATATTGATAACAAGACAAACGGCAACACTACTACATGACTTTGATCAAATTATTTAAGGGTGTGGGTGTGGGTATGGGGTGTGAGTGTGGGTGAGGGTGTGGGTGTCAGTGTCGGTGTCAGTGAGTGTGGATGACGTGAGAAGATCTAACTCAACGTCCACACCCACACCCACCAATATCCACACTCACATTCACACCTCACACACCCACACCCACCCACACCCCACACCCACACCCCATCCTTAGTAGTGCCTTCATGTTCATATCCATCTTCTAAACTCACTTTTCCGTAACTTTTTTGAAGTATTCCATTGCAGAATTCACCATGGTAAATAGTTGAGCCATGATTTTTAAAGATATAACCATATCCATGTGGTTTATAATCTTTCTATGAACTAGAATAATATTCTTCACCATTGTTAATACTAAATGTACCTAGTTCTTCACGCAAGTGTTTTTCGCTAACTGTACCATCGTATATTCCATTGTCTGTCAGTAATAGATGTTGATATAAATTTATCTTCTTTTCTTTTAACAGCTGAGATTTTAGCCAAAAACACTAAATCAGCTATATTGTTTCTTTTATCATCACTACGTAACTCATCATTGTCTTTACGAAATAACTTAATAGACTTTAAATCCCGACGAGCAGTATGTGGGATGTAGATGTGAGTGAGATTATTATCAGTACCCATCCACACCCACACCTTATAAAAAGCCAGATGTGAGCGAAAAGCAACAAGTTTTATTGGCTTATGTTTAATTTTTAGAAAAAAAAGCCCATGAGAAGTCACATCCACGGATATCCTAGAGAAGGATTTCATCAAGTAACATTATGACAGATGTCTGAACATGAAATCTACTTCGTGTAATGCTAAAAGGCGTTTTATCCTATTGATTAAACATCAAGATATGACATGTCAATATTCATTGATCACTTTCTGTTCGATAGCAAAAAACTGCAAAAAGGACAGAACGAGCTATGTATTAAGCTAGTTGGAATACTTCGATGTCGTATGCGCTAAATTTCTGAGCTCCAGTGAAAATATTGTTACCCTGCCTAGTTCATAAGATCCAGCTTGAGAATTCCTTGATACACCTTCCTCTTTTCGTGTTAACGAAACATTTCGATATTCTCACTATTTTTAACGAGAGCTGCGTCCTTGTATATTCATGATATTTGCTAGTCTGTTCATCGCATTCTATTCGAACATTTTGTCTCCTCTCACATAAACACAACACCATCGAATCGAGATGTTGCACGTACTCATCAGCATTTTGTATGCGAAGTGTCAGCTCGATTGTATCGATCACTACTATCGCGCTTGAATGCAATGTAGACAATGGTGATTAGCTTCTGTGTTGCATCATCTTTTCCTAATAGAATGTACCAGCAACGTTTGTCAATAAAGTTTTCCGACTAATGTTGGCTAGAGACAAAAGCTTTGATGCCGTTGAATAGCCCATAGATCACAGTATACGTAGGCGCATTTTAACTCATCGAAAAAAAACAATTTCAATTTCTCTTCCTAATACCCACAGTTCCACATGCCTACACGCACATCGATCGATTGAGTTGATCTAACTTATTTTCTTTTCAAACATATTTCCACTAGACTTTTTTCGATTTAGAAATGAAGAAGCAAATGTTAAATATAGGTTTTGATACCGTTCTATCTAATTTTTGCTCAAGTCGGTACCGACTATATTTATCATGTAGTCTTCACCAAAAGCAGTATCTCTAAACGACTGAAGAATAGAGCACATCACTTACAATGTCGCTCATTTCAAGAAAGAATGATTGACATTCGTTTGACCATATTCGAGCTTCAATAATTTCAATGCTAACTACCGAGAAGAGTCCCTTTTTAGTCGTGGTCTAAAAAAAACAGCGTGCTAAATCTTCTACAAAACATGCTCACAGTTGATATACACGTTCAGTATTGCTCACAACAATTATAGTCACATCAATAATTATAAATACATTCTTGTCTGATCAAATTAGTCTTTCTTTTATGTTTATTCGATGAAAAATAGCTAAAAAATTACAAAACGAAAAGCAATGTTTGAAATGATAAAAGTTCGAAAATTAAATGTTCGTCTATTTTGTCCATTGACGCATCCAGTCTAGCACTTTTTCATACCAAACAATTGAATTCAGAGGATTCAGTGTCCAATGGTTTTCATTTGGCATATAGAGCAATCGACTTGGAATACCACGTCGTTGCAAAGCTGTAAATGCGCCTATACTTTGTGTATCTGGTACTCGATAATCACGACCACCTTGAATAATTAGCATTGGTTGAGTCCAATTCGCAACATGATTGACTGGATTGAATTTTTCAAAGGCCTCAGGATTGTCATATGGAGTGAAACCACCTGCATCATGTTCAGTGAACCACAATTCGTCCGTTGAATAAGCCATTCCTCTCATATCAAAGAGACCATCATGATTCACAAGTGCTCTAAAACGCTGACTCATTTCTGGATGTCCAGCAATCCAATTGATCATAAAACCGCCATAACTAGCACCCAATGCCACTGCTCCATTAGCATCAATATAGCTGTATTGTTCTAGAGCAGCGGTGAGGCCCAACTGAAGATCCTCATAGGGTAATGTACCATATTGACCGGTGATACTATCAGTAAAGTTTTGCCCATACGAATCCGATCCATGAAAATTGATGGCAATAACTGCGTAACCTTGTGCAGCGAACACCTGAAAACTCCATCCAAATCCCCATGTATTGTACCAACTATTCTGTGGACCACCGTGAATAAGAAATGCCAGAGGTGCTTTTTGATCAGTGCCATTTGTCGGTGGTAGATGCCAACCCCACACTTTCTCATTCTTGGCGCCGACAAACATAAATTTCTCTGCATCGCTTCTTTGCATCTTATCCAATAGGTTTTTATTATGTGTAGTGATTGGTTGATCAACTGTGGATAATCGGTGTAACCAGATATTGATCGGTTCAGTAAGAGTTTGACCAGTGTATAGAAATGTTTCCTCGTCTTTCGGATGAGGATTGATATCATGTGATGATCCAGAGACCAGCACGATGGAAGCTTCTGCATCAGGAGATTGTACATTACTTAGTTTATAAATTACATGATCTGCGTATTCGCCCAATTCCAGAAACAGTGATTGACCATTGTTTGACCAGGTTATAGCCTGAATACTTCGATCCCAATTATCGAGCAAAGTTCTGACATTTGAACCTAGAAAACACAAACCGATTGAATTCATCACGAAAAATAAAACTTACCATTGAATAACTTTACTTTGAATTGATCCGATTCGTAGCCAGGAATTGATTGTGATCGATAGACCAGCACATTTTCATCAATGGGTGAATATGTTGGATCTGTATCCGCAGCTAAATTCTCACATGTGATACATACAGGTTGTATGTTGGATATGGTCAAATCAACAGTGTAAATATCTAGATTAGTTGACCAAGCTACTGCACTTGTTTCATCATGTTGTCGAGTGAAAGCAAATGAATTACCACTGGCACTGAACGACCATTCACTTTTGCTATCACCAAACGGACGTGTCGGTGAATCACTATCAATACCGAAGAGAACGTCTTCTGGTGTTGATGTAAATTGAAATGTTCCTTTAGCATCTCGTGTAATAGAAACAACAAATGGATGATGACGTGTTCCAATCATATATTCATCCCAATGACGAATGAATAACTTATCAAACTCATATACGAGGCTATCACTAGCCTTCTTAGCGGCCTTCTGAGCAGCTGTATCTTGAATTGATAGCTTAGTGTAAACTTGACAGCTAAACGCTAAACGGGATGCTTGACGATTGACCAAAACATTATCAATGCTCAAGGGAAAATCAGTAATTTGAATGGCTTCAATGTAATCGGTCAGCGCTGTGATATTGTCCGGTAGATTTAGTTGAAACAATTGAGTAAGACCAGATGGTGCTCGATTAGAAAGAAACAGAATCGTTGCTTTATCCACCCAGAAAAACTGAAGAAAAATTGTGGATAAAATGTTATAGTTTTCATTTTATTTACTTGTTGATCATGGATTCCCCAAATTGGTCGCGTCAATTGCACAGGTGTGCTTTCCAGAGAATTGTTCAAACGGATCCAATGCAATGTTGTTGACGATCCATTGCAATCGGGCATATGATATTGTCGTCGCAAATATATGGCATTATTGCTACCATCTGGAGCAAAACGTGGTGACGAAAGACGATCCAAACGAAGATTATCTTCTTGACTGAAAGGATAATGAATCGTCAAGTTCAGATAATAGTCACTGTTCGATAGATAATCGCTGGCATTCCATCCTGGCGGTCCAGGCGAGGGACTAGACGTACTGGTTAGATTAGGTGTGGTGGTTGAGTGAGTTGTGCTGGTTGAGTAAGTTGTACTGGTTGAATGAGTCGTACTAGTTTGGCTAGTTGTGCTAGGACGAGAGGAATCTTTTGCATTGCTTTTAATAACGATAAGGCAGGGTATGAGTACTACGAAACAACCGACTAAAAAACTCAAGGCACACCAAACATACTAAACAAGATGTAGTCTTATGGCTATATAAAATAGAAAAATGCATGGAGACAGACCGTTTTGTTTTTCGATTTTTGTAGATACGCTTTCATTCCCGAATCTGCAGTACTTCCGAAGGTTAGTCGCGTCGACATGAGAAATATAGTGAAATAAAGAATAAACTGAAACAAACGTGTACTTCTCTTCTTTCTTATCGTAGTAGAGATAAACAAAAATGAAATTCTCGAGCGGCAAGTGAGAATAGATAGGCTGAATGCAAAAACTCAACATATTTATCTATTGAAATTTCTCGACGTCGCTGTAACTTCAAATTGGCCGAACTTCATTTGTTTCATAGTATCTACTTTGCAACTCTTACAGTAGCTCTAAATTGAAATACTCTTTGAGTGTCTTGTACAATTAAAACGAAGAATCAATGATGGTTTGAGTCGGGCATGATGCAATTATTCTAATGAACAAGGGATTGTTTCCTTCTACTAGATGATGCAAATGAATTACAAAAAATAATTCATCCGACAGAGATCATGTGTGTAGATTATCGAAAGGTTATAAGCATACGACGTCTATGGAGCAGAAAATACAAAGAAGCTTTCGTAGATGTTTAAGGCTAATGGAAACAATAGTGTTTCACATATCGTGAAGATATCAGTAAATAATTCTATCTAGTAAAAGATGTGATGGGTGTGGATGTGGGTATGGTTGTGGCTGTGCGTGTGCGTGCGGGTGTGGGTGTGGGTGTGGGCATGGGTATCAGTCGAGAGGTTACCCTCACTCAGCCACACCCACACCTTTATCAGTAGTGCAAAAAAATGTCGAATCGGTCACAGCATGACAGAGGTGTTCATGGTTGTATTCTTCGTGAAGTAACTTTTGGGTTACCCTATATGTGAAATTTTTACTTGAAGCATTCGTCAAATAACAAAAATACATTCGACAAATAGAAATGTGTTTCGAATGTTATTTCACTCAAAGTTCAATTTATCTCTTTCATTTCTTCGTTCCTCTGATCAGAAAATTGATCAAGAGCAAAAGGAAAGCAACCAAGTTATTGATTGCTTCGTTTGTTTTTTGTGTTCTTGTCAGAAAAACAGCCTGAAAAATAAAACATGTATACATGACGTATCAGGCAAGGTATCCCATGTAATGTGACTTGAGTCATGTTATAGATGAAAAAAAGGGTATGGGTATGGGTCGGTGCGGGTGTGGGTATGTGGGTGTGGGTGTGGCTGTGGGTGTGGCTGTGGGTGTGGATGTTGCACTTCTCCCTTATGAGATCCACACACACGCACGCCCACACCCACACACACGCACGCCCACACCCACACACACGCACGCCCACACCCACACACACCCACACCCCATCCACCTACACCCGCCCACACCCCACCCCACCACACCCACACCACACACGCACACCCACACACCTACACCCACATCCACACTCAAACCCCACACTCACACCCAAATATCGATTGGCTACGATAGATTTATTCGAATTAACTACAAATTGCATCAGGTATGCTCAAGTGATTTTGTGACTCAACGTTGGCTGAACTACTTTCTTCAAATAGTACGCGGGAAAAATTTTGAGATCTAACGACCTTCGAATACAAGGTTCTCAAGTATTCCAAGTGTTGCGTTCTTTATGTGAATTAGTGAATGCTACAATATCAAATAGTTTAACGCAGTTCTATAAAAGTCAATATGCGACCATATCTGTTACACAACCAGTAGTATTAGAATCACAAGCTCAATCATTCATCACCCAATTTATCATTCTAACAACTAATCAGTTTTTATTATCGTTGAAAACTATTTAAGAAACTACACAAGACAATTTTCTGTTTCCTGTACTTAAATCAAATGCTCGACTCTATTTGAATTCTGATGGTAGCATTGTTAATGCAGGAATATTGAAATACGGCAATTGTTCATGTGCTGTTACTTATTCTTGCACTTCACAATCTAAAATTTATAATGGTACAAGCACGAGTGTAATATTCTTTGTACCAGGTATGTACTACAGATGCTATATGATAGCAGCATTGCGTCAATGAACTCTTGAGTGTTTCTTTAATCAAATATGTTTTGATCAGCTCAGATTCTATTTGAGCTTGACTTTATCCTTCAATGAAACTGTACTCAGTGCTTCATCACTTATAAAATTCTCTCCAACAAGTGCAATAGCTGAGCTACTTGATGAATTGATGGTTGAGACATGGAACTGGTCTATTATTTACCCTGAATATTATAGTACTTATGATCCAATGGAATGTACTTATACACTAAAAGATAGAAAAATTGTACCACGGATCGTAAGCATGATGAAACAAAAGATGCGCCCTTGATCAACAGTAGAAACCGATAAGAAAAGACTAATGAGAAACATATAGATTGAGATTCGATGTTCACTTGCGTGATTTCATATATAAATTTCATGATTCAAACTCGTTAGTTGTGATACTATTTTTCATTATCATTGCATTAAACGACTATGGAATCTCTATGAAGCATGTGGTTGTATGTTATATATGCAAATATTATGTTTTTTTTCAGAAAGGTTAAGATACATATAAACGAGATCAAAAATCAAAATACTCAGATCATTTGTATTAATTCAATTCTCTAGATAAAAAGGTTCACTCATAACACTATAGGTTAAGAGTCTTAATCATGCATACATGAAATTACAGATGTTTAACACATATATAACTAAAATCGTGATGGTATCTTTGTTAAAATTTGCTTGTCTCTTAGTCAGGTACCATGGGCCTTATTTGGTTTGAGGAGCACGTAAGTTTTTTTACGAAAACTTGAAAATAGTTTCATACAACAACTTAAAAGTATCAGAAGAACTTTAAAATATTTCAGCTAAAGACATGATATAAGAACTTCGGCATAGATGTCATCAATTGTATCGTGTGTCAATGGTGTAATAAAATATCACAAAAGAACAGAAACTGAACGTCGAAACTCATTAGAATATGCAAAACATCAAATATTAGTTTCATTTATATAGAAACATATATCGCAGAGTCATTATATTTGCTTATTTTTATCTTCTTCCCCATAGCGGATATCTAGCGACTGGTGAGGTCAAAAACTGGCACACTTTTACCACAGAATTATGCCTTTGACTTAGACCAAACTGATATATAAAGAAGTCTGGATCCTCTTTCATACTCATGTAGTGACAAAAATAATCATTGTTTTTTTGCGGTGTAAATTTTTCTAATAGTCAACGCCGACAAAACCAAAATTTGCATTTCTTTACAAATGGCTGATCAAATACAAACTATCAATCTTTTCCCATCTGCTCCACCTGCTACTGATGAACATGACCTCAAAAAACAACGAATGTCAACGCAACTCTTTATCATGTTGTTAATTGCCTCGTTGAGTATTCTACTTTCATACAATTTAACAATGCTTGTCACGAAGACAATGAATGTCAACACTCCTACTTTTGAGCAATACACACAATTAACAACCAAATATTCACAAACACTTGTATGTACATGTACACCTATATCGATTGACTACAAGAAACTTCTTCGTGTCAATTATACATTACATCAGGTGTGTTCAAGTAATTTTGTCACGAAGCAATGGCTCGATTATATTCGTGCACCATACAGCAGCAGACCATTGTCGGATCCTAATTTTAAAGTGAAAAATTCATATATTTTTCAAGCATTGCGTTCATTATGTGAAGTAGCAAAGGCAACCATATTAAAAAGTTTGACGGAATTTTATACAAATCAATATATAAGTACGACTACCACTCTATTGGCCTTATTTGAAATACAAATTCAATCAGCCATAAATCAGTTTATCACCTTGACAAGTAACGATTTTTTATCGTCTTTACAAATTATTCGAGATATCACTCATGGGAATTTTCTATTTTCGTCCCTCTCAACAAATGCTTCTCTCTTTACAAGTAATGAAACTACGGCGCTATTAAATGAGGTGATGAAGTATGAAGGACGTTCGTGTGCTTGTAGATATATGTGTACTGCGCAGGCAAATATTAATAATAGTAGTGTAAGCATATTATTTTCAGTACCAGGTATGTATATTGGATGCTATATAATAGAAGCATTGCGTTAATCAACTCTTAAATGTTTCTTTAATCAAACATGCTTTGATCAGCTCATATGCTATTTGAGCTTGACTTCATCCTTCAATATAACCGTCTTGAATGCTTTGTCACTTACAAAATTCTTTCCGACAAGTACAATAGCTGAGCTACTTGATGAATTGATGGTTGACACATGGAACTGGTCTATTAGCTATTCTGATTATTATAGCACTTGTGATCCATCAAAATGTGCTTACACAGTGAAAATTAAAAATGATGCTGTTTATATTATAACAGCTTTGATTGGTCTGATGGGAGGTTTGATAACAGCTTTGAAATTGGTCGTACCACATATTGTGAAGTTTGTTCGTAGGAAGAAAAAAGTACAGATTGCAGATGTTTCAGTCATCCAAGGTGAATATCTTAGCTGATTCTAACAGACTGAAATATTGAAATCCAGGCAGAAACTCATAAGGCATCATCACAAGACGATGACATTGATATTACAAATAAATTTTACGATTAAACATTGGTATTATCATTATCTTCTTTTATCATTATTAAGTATGATTTCGATCAATTTCAAACCAATCCTTTATAGACTTTCAATATATCAATATTCACTCTTATTCAATCATTGCTATGTTGCTTACGTTGTGACCATTGATGTATTCATTTGTCTCATCGTATATCATGTCTACATTTCATTTGTTGTAACGTTTATACCAATTTTATGTGAATGTTGATACTAAGAGTTTATGCTTTCGTCTAAAGTACTAATAAAGATTTTATTCACTAAGGATTCATCATTTTGGTGATTTATGGGAGGAAATGAGAGTTTATTAGGTCATCATTAATCAACAATATTCAGTGGATACTAACTCACTTCTTCGCCGATCGAAATTCTTCAAATGACCATTTAAATTAGTGACATACAGATCTTCAATAGCTCCAATCTTGTTAGTCTTAATTAAATCTTATTACAAGGTGGCTTACTCCATCAAAATATATTTTTGAAGTCTAGGATTTCTCAGAGTGCATATTGTTTTATGATTATATGTTCATCGAGTAGACCTCTTAGATAGAAAGGAAATGTTCTTTTTCTGTAAGCATCTAAGAACAACAAATAAAAATTAAAAAGGAATATAGCTTTATTTTTTGAAATTCAAAGCATTTAAACAAAAACAGATTTTTCGGTTTTTTTTTGATCGTCATGAGTGTTTCGACTTTCACATTTCTTATCATCTATCAGAAATTTTTTGTTCCTCATTCATATTCTTTCAATGATTTGTTTTAAAAAGTTATAGAAGAATTCTGCACTTCACGAAAAAACTCAAGTCAATTGAATTATAGAAGTGCATAGAAGACTAATGACATCTTCGAATGGAGTTGTCTTCTTTCTTACAATTTTCTTTCGATATGTCACGCATTATTGTTTATAAAATAACTTACACACACCATGATGATTCCCTGGACAGTCTCATTTTGTTTAGACTATCTGTCAATAATCTCTAGATTTTCTTAACGTAACTACGTCATCACATGTGCTCGACAAGTCATTATTATTCAGCATTGACTTAATTTAAACACCTACATGTTGTGAAGTTCTCTTCATATCTCTTGGAAAATCATCATCAATAATCTTCATGATAAAGATTTTCTTATAGTGGGTTACAGTGAATAAATCTTTTGTTTATCAAATCAATCCTAATTTACTTGGTTTGTGTTCACTATTTCCATGAACAATAATTTAGTATTCGTAGATTATTATGAAAATGAAAATAATATCGTCTGAATATTTAGCCGATCTTCTTCCTCCCGAAAAGATTTCAGACAAGAACAGAAAATCATCCAATAGCATCTAGCTATCAAATAACTGATTGAATGATATATGATTTATGAGTATGAATAGAAGCGACACATCCAACATTTATCAAAGAAAATCATATCTGACACGATGATGATGATGCTATTTTTATGCCAAAAAAACTAATGAAATTTTTTAATTTTGATCATCAATCTGTTGCTGACATATATGAGTGCTTCTAACAGACTATCAAATTCAAATTTATTTGAAGATGTCATAGGAAGGATATATATATATATATATATAGAGTGCGTGTGTGTGAAACAGTACGTAGTGAAAGTGCATATTCAGTTTAACAATAGACAATAAATGTCAGTCTTCGAAATATCTCTTCAAATCAAATTTTGGAGTCCGGTTATCTTTTTTTCAATCGGAGCTCCAGCTGCACTTCTCAATGCAATCATATTCATGGGTATAAAAACATTTCGTCGATCTCCATCGGCTTATTATGTAGTAGGACAATCATTTGCTGATGTCAATGTATTGTTATTCCTACTTCTTCAAGTTATTCCATCTACATCAATATCATTATCATCGATTTCTTGTAAATTAATGATCTTTTTTACACAAATGATGACGTCTGTTGCAATGAGTTTTCTTTGTTTGTCTGCATTTGATCGTTGGGCATGTACATCTCAATCAGCTCGAATACGTCAATTGAGTTCAATTCGAGTAGCTCGTTTTTTCTTTCCTATTCCATTTATTTTTTGGACACTTGTCAATATTCCTTTTCTTATTTATTCCGATCTTGTACCACCTATGTACACTTGTTGGTTTACAAACGATCTGTTTACGAGAGTAGGAACTCTTATTTTGTCTCCAATCCTTACTGTTCTTCTTCCTCTAGTTGTTTTAATATTGTTTGGTTTATTAACATATTGTAATATTCGTCTTGTAAGCCATATTCGTCAACAACCAAATCAAAGTCGAATGTCAACATGGGAACAACAAATGACAAGAATGATGTTAACTCAAACTCTTTTAAGTATCATTTGTACAATTCCTCGAGCAGTGTATGTTGCTTATACGATTTCTATAAACGCAGAGGCTACAACGATGAGTTTTGAGCAAATATCTATTATACTTCTTGCTGATTCTTTAACTATTTCCATTGTTAGTGTTAATTTTGCATCATCTTTTTATATCTTTCTTTTTTCATCACCACGTTTTCGACAAACAATTCTAATGTATTTGACATGTCGATTCCATTTAAGAAGTAATCAAATAGCTCCAGCAAACATGTTACTGACAGCAACAACACATACTGAACGACAAACTGCAAGAAATATTGTTCATCCAACTATTCAAACAGAACGATTTTGACGATTATCTATATTAAAATGGCTACTACTAAAAAACTCTCCTTTTTTGAATCTTGCACTTCTTGAAAGCCTAAATAAATTTCTCTTATTCATGTAAGATATATTATATCTAACATGATGTTGACATCTTGCTTTATTTTGAATAAAATAACATAAAAGGATCATTATTCTAGACTATTACTATCTAATGATTCATACTGGAATATGATGATGAGGAATGAAAACGACATGATTCTTTCAAGTTTCATTCAAAACAATAATCTCGTTTACGAGACAAAATAAGATTCGAATATCACTTTGAATTTGTGATTCACACATTTATTTGATGATTCTCTTTTGGTGTCCAATAGGTTTCCTACACTGTTGTCATTTGTGTTCGAACTGATCCATAAATACCCTATGAAAGATGTTGAAAGACATTGTTGCGAATTACTAATAATTAAATGATCGAATGGAATTTCAACATCATTAATTTACTAACAGTAAATTATTGATGCTTTTTTTTCGAGCATATAACTATGCTGAAGTTACAGATATCTGAGTACTAATATAGTTCTTTAATTTCAGATAAAATTATGTAATTTGATTTATTCGATCCTTAACAGTCTCGATGGCTAAAGGAAAGAGCAACTGTCATCATATTTGATTCTATTGAGACAATTCATCGTTGAAAAGCGAAGGAAAGACTCTGACATAATTGCCATATTCTAAAGAACTGCTCATGGATCACTTGAGCATCATCTATGTGACAGACATAGGAAATCATCAAGTGATATGCCGATCTAAAGAAGAAAAATAGAACACTGTCATTGCAGTAGTTTAAGAAACAATAAACCTGTACTATCCTGAAGTTTTGATCTTCAATCAACATGGCTATCGTTAGGAAATGACCATGTAAGACAATTTCCTTTTTTTTCTCTCTCTCTCTGTCAACTAAATTACATTAAATAGAAATAACTATTCGATCGTGTGCTTCCAACGAGGAATTACACTATCAACGAATTCATGGCGATTGAAGTCCATGCACACAGAAGACAAATCCTAACAATAGAATCGAACTAAAAATCAGAATTCAATTCAATAATTATTCTACATATGCTACAAAATTATAGAAGCATTATTAACTTTTGTATAATATTTTATTTGCTTTGGAGTTAGATTAACTTTACTTCGATCCTTATGTGAATCTCAAAATTCCTGAATGGCTGTATCAGGCACTTTTGTGTAGACAAATGGCTCTTGTTTGCTCTTGTGATACTCGCCCATCCAACTTTCAAGTGTATGGCATATATTTATGACAGTGATTACAAGACAGAGTGGTATGCTCGAGTTAAATGCTTTCCTTCCACATAATTTTCTCTGTGTATGTCATGCATCGTTATTTTTAAGATGAGTGTTTCATGTCATGATGGCTTCCTGGACAGATTTATTTTGTTTTGATTATAAACTAATAATCTCTAGCATATATTGACGTATCTCCGTTATTCAAAATTGGCTTATTTCAAACAATTGCCTATTTTGAATTTCCCTTCCTTCAGTTGATACCATCGTAAAAGTATTAGTGAAGACATTGTGACAACAATGAATATAAAATACTTCAAGGCATGTTTTTCAAAAAATCACCATCTTTTGTCTTCGAAGAATACAATTCCTCGAAGTGATTTTCTCTTCCCTATTTTTCCACCTTAAAAAACTCTAAGCAAAAATACTAGCAGAATACTTATATTTAATAACATTTTCAGTGATATATGATTGATAAACATATATGAAGAAGAGGCGTTTGGCTTCTATTAAACAAGATCATATCTGACAAAACAACAATGAAGGTATTTTTGTTCATACGAGCTCTGCTGTTGACATATCTGGATGCTTTCAGCAAGTATTTTAATTAAATTTTAACGAGAGATACTATAGGAAGAATATATATATAAGTAAAGAGTGTGCAATCTAGGCCATAAAAGTGCATGTGAACAATTTTTTTGTAACTAAGAAAAACTCGTGCAAGTGCTTATTCAATGTTACAATCAACAACGATGTTAATATTTGAAGTATCTCTTCAAATCAAATTTTGGAGTCCGATTATCTTTTTTTTAATCGGAGCTCCATCGGCACTCCTCAATACAATCATATTCATGGGTATAAAAACATTTCGTCGATCTCCATCGGCTTATTATGTAGTAGGACAATCATTAGTTGATGTCAATGTGTTGTTAATCTTACTTTTTCAAATTATTCCATCCACTTCACTATCAGTCTCATCCGTTACTTGTAAATTAATGGTCTTTTTTGTTCAAGTGACGACAACTGCTGCAATGAGTTTTCTTTGTTTGTCTGCATTTGATCGTTGGGCATGTACATCTCAATCAGCTCGAATACGTCAATTGAGTTCAATTCGAGTAGCTCGTTTTTTCTTTCCTATTCCATTTATTCTTTGGTCACTTATCAATAGTCCATTTCTTTTTTACTGTGATCTTGTACCACCTATGTACACTTGTTGGTTTACAAATGACTTGTTTATGAGAATAGGAACTCTTATTTTGACTCCAATCCTTACTGTTCTTCTTCCTCTCGTTGTTCTAGTAGTGTTTGGTTTATTGACCTATCGTAATATTCGTCTTGTAAGTCATATTCGTCAACAACCAAATCAAAGTCGAATGTCAACATGGGAACAACAAATGACAAGAATGATGTTAACTCAAACTCTTCTAAGTATCATTTGTACCATTCCTCGAGCAGTGTATGTTGTTTACTCGATTGCTACAGTCGATGAGGCTACAACGATGAGTTTTGAGAGACTATCTATTACACTTCTTATTGATTGTTTAACTGTTTCCATTGTTAGTATTAATTTTGCATCATCTTTTTATATCTTTCTTTTTTCATCACCACGTTTTCGACAAACAATTCTAATGTATTTGACATGTCGATTCCATTTAAGAAGTAATCAAATAGCTCCAACAAACATGTTACTGACAGCAACAACACATACTGGACGACAAACTGCAAGAAATATTGCTCATCCAACTGTTCAAACTGAACCATTTTAACAATTCTCTTTATTAAAATGACCTTTGCTCAAATAAATGCTTCTTGTCTGAATCTGTAGTCTCTTTTAAATTCTAAATAAAATTTTCCTAAACATTGAAGTATATCATTTTGTTACATGATGTGAAAATCTTTCTGTAATTTCAAGTGATATCCATGAATCGTTATCCTTGATTCTTGTTATCTGCTTATCCAGGATAGAAGATAATGAACAAAAATCACCAGATGTTAAAAAGTGCTTTTGTTGGTCATTGAGCAGAGTTCTCGGTAATCTGAAAATATTACCGCATAAGTAAAAATCCCCGAACTTATAAGATTCCTACGAATAAAAACAGAACTCAATTTATAGTTGTAACCAGTCGAAAGTTTTTCGAACTATTTCGGCCCAGCTGATTTGAAAATTCCTTGAAATATATCGAAACTGACAAAAAAGTAGTAGCTGACTTCTTGGGATATTTTCCAGAAAAATTGAAATTTTCTCTGCAAACGAGGATCCAAGACTAAGTTTGATTCTCAACAGAGATGTAGAATCACCAGGTAAAAAAACATGGTTTTACTATCAATAACTAATACTGCGAGTCAACACTTGAAACAGATTATATTACTTATTATGTTTTTTTTTCTAAACATGAGTCTATTTAGTGCTACAATAGGCACTTGTTAAGAGCAACAATTTGAAGACTCCATCTCAAAATGGTGAATGCTTTTTTCATGAGTATGTGAAATGGAAAAAAAGTGCAAGACAAGTATTTCTTGGTTTGAAGAGATCATGTTAGCATCATTCTTTTTCGTAGCACTACTACTACAGGTTGGATGGAACGTGTTGACAGTCGTGATTGTTCGATTGTCCTAGTTGAGCGTGATTATTAGAACTCCATGTCTAAATGATAAATTGGTAGTGTATCCAGACGGATATGAAGTATTTGTTGAGAAGGTGATCTGATTCAAGCACAAACCACTCAAGCCAGAACTAGGAGCCAAAACATTCATCGTGTCCATATCTGAGCTCAAATGAAGCCAAGAAACGAGCCAAAGACGATGAAAGAAATAGTTTATATCGAGAATACGTATATTGGAAACGGCTGTTACCATTCTGTTGAATGCATCTGGGCTTCCGTTTTTCTAATGATCGTTCATATTAAACAAATGATATGATGAATCAATAATGAAGTGTAGAAAATAACACTGAGATAAACGATGAGAGTAGGACAAAGTAAGGAATTGGATGATAGTTACACATTTCAAATACTTTTTTCCTCAAACAATGACGGTATTCTTATATATCGTCACTGTGTGTTTATTGTCGTACAATCGAACTAATTCATTTTCTGACTAGTTTTATTATTTTTGCTCTAGACATTGTCAAATTTAATTGAAGTTCCTTAGATGAATCCAGTAAATAACAGAGTCTTATTTCAGGTGCCTTTAGAAAAATAAATCATCGTTATGTTTTGTTTTCAGTTTACTATAAGTTGATAGATTTTCTCGAGTTTATCTTAGATGGAATGTACTAAGAAAGTTTTCATTAATTCATAAAATAGTTAGGAACATTCGATTTACATGAATAATCATTTATATCTCAGTTCACGCACAATAAAAGAATAAGTAAGATGTGCTGATTTTGTTGAAACTTGTTGTTAGTTCACAATATTTATTTTTATAAGTTGGTTGAATCTTCAGGAAAAAATAGAAATAAAATATATCGGCATACATCACAATGAAACATTTGTTAAAATATGTCAATATCTTGATAATTCAAAGTTTCAGTGACATTCTAATTAGAGTTATTTTAAACACAACACCTAGATTATTATCAAACTTAAAATTGTCTTTCAATAACAAATCTTCATCTTCGAGATGAAAAACACAAAATGGAATTCTTAATTGAAATTTGGACACAAAAAAATTAATTATCACTAACTACAAATTTTACTTAAGTATCTATCGTTATTTGAA